AGTCCATTTACTTTGGGTTTATAGCAATCCTGATGATAACTGAATTTGGCCATCAGTGGTGGAAATCCAGCAGAATTCATAGAGTTTTGTGAACACCCTATGCCAGGTTATGGCAGTAGCTCAGCTAAATATCTTTTTACTTAATATCCTAAGCTTATCAGGCAAGTCTAAAATACTGCTGTCCCCTGCTCAGCTGGAGTGAGGTGACACAGAATACATACCTCTCCTTCAAGCCCATCCTATTTCCAGCTAGCAGCTAAAAGATCCCCGTGTCTGTTTATAGGCCATATGGAAACACTTTGGCTGACTTTGTTAATCATTCGCTCTTCAGCTTGGAGTTAATTGTTTACTAAAACTATTAAACTGTGTGTATTGAAGGATGCCTTTGGGCTCTTAAAACAGTGGAAATATTTCATTAGAACAACAGAGCCTTGCCTATAGCTACTACAGCTACTCAAGCGCACACTATTCATTATCATGCAGCCACAGGCTATGCCACTTGTGCCTGATCAAATGCTGCTGGGACGGCTTGGAACATACTGCAGAGCTGTCATTGCAAGACTGGGTACAATCCACGCCGGCCACTCACAGACACTGTAGTACTCAATGGCCTGGTCATTTCTGTGCTCTCCATATTCTCACTGCCAGGCAACTTCAGCAAAATGCCAGCCAAGGACTCTTCCCTCATAACTCACGGGAATCACTGCAGCTCCGCAGCGGTGATCTACCCTAGCTGAACATCAGGCCCGACATAATTTGGTGGTGGTGTTATCATGGATTCAGAAAAAATAAGAGCTACTTGAATCCCTGGAGAAAGGGCAAAGCTAGTGAAGCAATGGAAAACCTTGCTCCCCTGTATCGGCAGAGAAGGGCCTCAGAACCCAAAGCACAGGGACAACATGTGAAAAACGGGTTGGGATTCTGGGAACCGTGGGGACTCGAATCCTCTGTTTACATGTGGAACAGATGCTGCACTAGCACCCCTACTGAAAGCTTCCCCAGATGCAAGACCACTCTCTCAATGCATCTTTGCCCAGAGGGACAACCAGAAGGAGGGATGACCTCTGCATCCAGATTATGCCTATCAGGGCAAGTCCACTGATGATTTGTTTGCTGCAAATTTCTGGCCATGAGGAATATACTGAGGCCATCAGTTGCATTTATCAGACTGGTGACTAGTTGGCCAGATGGTCATTTTCAGCCAATGCAAGCCGGGCCTGGATGTCACCAGGTAACAGGCAGAAGGAAACAGTCACAGCCTATTGCCCATCCTCTGAACTAGCCATTGGCCTCAAGCACAATGAAGAAAGGCTTAGGAGGAAGGGGTATGAAAGCTCTGTTAGTTTGGATTTCCCTGTGAAATGAAAAGTAATCAGGATGGGTATAAAAAAGCAAGCATCTCACTACTTATAGCTTGAGAGTCCATTAACGGCTATGTCGGTATTTAAAAGTCCTGCATGACCGCCCAATCCATTTCCTACCCTTGGCCAGACACCAGTCTCGGTTGCAACACTAATGATGATGACGGAGTTACCCTAGATTTAAAAGGGAATGAGTGAGAGTAGGATCTGGCCCCCGGTCTTCCTGAAGTTTCCCCTCTGAGTTCAGCAGACTTGCTGACAAACTTAGTTAGGATCCTACAGACAAACAACCGACTTACTCAAAAGCTGGTTTTGACTGAATGCTAATGGAATCACTTGAGATAGGCTCTGCCAGTCAGTGTGGGTTACAGTTTTACTTGGGAAGACAATAACTATGAAAAACTATCTGGGGTGACATAATAGGAAAACATTACAATTCCTCTTATAAGACTAGTGAGGTTTTTATAATGCATTTCATATACATTTCTTGGTTTCAGTTGGTTCCTTGCCATAATTTTCTGCCTGTTCACTTTCCAGGGAGATTTTTTTTTCCATTGTAATTTTTCAATTTGTTCTCGGTCTTGGCAAGGTGCCCAAACTAAATAATAAAGATTAGCACAGCCATAGGCTGTAGCCCTTCCTACACCAAACTCTGCTTTACGCTTACAGCTTTACTAAAGAAAGTTCTACAATCCTTTTTTATTTTTAAATCCCTCTATGTGCATCAAAGGCTTGAGGCAGCCTCTGGTGGCATAAAGAGATGAATCAGATCCTGCAGGTGGCATGGTGATGGGTGCAGCATAAAACCGAAAACCTGCACCTCAGTGACGGCTCAGGTTGCTCTATCCAGAATCCTACCACCTGTGCAGGACAGGCAGCCTTTACCTGTAGAGCGTAAATAGCCTTCAGGATCTACAATGCATCCCCAGATGCCCTGTGCATGCTTTCTCCAGTCCATTTGGGGCAGTCTTCCACCAATGGCCAGGTTTGCAAGACCTATGCAACACAGCAATGCTTAATCAGCCCACCTTGATTCTTCCTGTAGTCTCTGGGTTATGCTGGTGGAAACCATTGATTATGGTTTCCACCATATTATGGTGGTGATTAACCATGGATTAATTTTAGCCTGGAGATTAGACACCCAGTGATTTTTGATCAATCCCACTAATCCACAACATTTTCCCATGTTTTATACACAAGACTGCACCATTCTATTGGTCTTCATTGATTTCATGCAAAATTGCCAGTTTGCTAAGGTAAAAACTGATTCCCAGTGGAAACACTATTAAATTCAAATTCTCAGCCTGCTTGTAGAAAAGGCTGGGAGAATCATCCAACTGAGTTTCATACAAGTGAGTGATTAGCTTAGAACTAAACGGCGGGTGGCAGGTGGGACAGTGTTCATGGTGGTTTTTGGGGTCTCTCGGGCAGACGGAGCAGGGAGAAAGGGAAGGAAGAAGAGACAATACAGAGGCTGAGGAGAAAGGAGTCGTGACTCTTCCAAAGGAGCCGGCACTGTTCACTCAAGAGCAGTCAGTGGGACTGATCTTGATTCTTCAGGTTCTCTCCCGCTTCATTCACCCACCTCAGCATGGTTGGGACCCAACCCTTCTGACCCAGAGAAGGCAAGAACCCCACAAGGTTTCCCAGGGGCTGAGTCTGGTCCTGGCAAGCTGGCTGTAGCAGAGCATTATTTGCCCTCGAGGAACCACTTCTGCAGCTGAGCACAATTTTTGGAGGTGGATTCTAAGGATGTGTCTGGCAATGTAGGTGTGTGGGTTGGTGCAAATCCCTATCATAGAAGAGATGCAAAGTGCCTATTGCCTGCATGAGCACCCTGCGGGTTAACAATTTACCCTACCTAGTGCAGCTCATCTGTACTTGTATCTAGGCTGATATAAATATGTTGTGTAAACACTTTCCCAGCAGATAGAAAGCCTCATTTAACCAATGCGTCTCCCACATTCTGATCTCTGCAGCAGAAAAGCAGAAGTTTCAAGTTTTCTATCTTTCAGTAGGCACCTCATTCCAGTTTATCATAAAAGAAACCTGTGATCATCGCCCAGCAGTCAATTTGCACATGAGAAGAGGAGAAAGTTGGATTCTGCTGAAACATGTCCATGGAAGGAAAACAATGAGTAATCAGGACAGCCAGCTGGCAAAGAAACAATGTATTGAGAAATATGGCAATTTTTAATATAGCACAGGTATTTGCATCTGCAGATGTGCTGTGCCATGTTCTGGACAGCCTGGTTCTGTATTCCCATCTGGAAGCCAGCCTGAAGCCTGTTGCTTCCTTCCTGATGTCTTCATGGTTGCCCAAGTATGACCAATACTGTTGGTTGGTTTTCCCTGCCAGCCTGACAGCAAGTGCTGGAAGATGATTACGTTTCCATCAGGGGGCAGGGATGACTGAGAAAGGCAGGTGCATAACCACAGAAAATTTGAGTCTACCTCACAAAATGAGCACAGCCGATCAACACATTTGCTCCAGAAGAAATTCCAGGATGCTGAAGCCAATGTTATAGAAAGCTCTTGGCCTCGTTCACCAAAGTGACTCACAGTTTTAGGAACCCATATGTTCTAGGCATCTACCCTGAAAGGCTTTTGGGAGACCTGATATTTAGAAGTGCTGAGTACATGGATTCAGCAAACCAGGCTTCAAAGGAAGATTAAGCTGAGTAATTGCAGTGGAGAAGCAGAATAGGGTGGCACTGGGAACATAGGCTGAGCTTGTGCTTTAGAATAATTTACAGGTATGCCGTGCCTCAGGCTTGTGGAGGTTTTCATCATAAAGCTCCTAAACAGGATGGAGATGGAGGAGAAATGTTTCTGTCTTTCGTTAGGAAGCTTTTCTATCCTGAGTCCACTTCTAGCATCTAATGAAACAGGTTGTCACCTCCAATAGCTCATGATTCTTTGAACCAGGTAGTCTATAAGGTGCCATCCTGCCCTGCCTTCTACCTATCCTGGATTGACTATTACTTTGAGCTATTACTATATCAGCATATCAAATTAATGTTTCTCTCCCCTCAAAATTTGCTGTTTGGGGCTTTTTTGAGTAAGGAAGGGAAGAACTGAGCTTATCTGCATGTCTGCCCATCTCTCTTCTCTGATCTGATCTCTGATCAGTCCCTTCTCAGCATCTGGTAAAGTTAATGCTTATGAAAACTTATGCATTGCTGATTCAGTTAATCTATAGGGTGTGAATCTACCCCGCCTTCTGCCTAATCATTTATAGCCTGGGCTATTGAGCTTTGACTCAAGCTCTTAGAGTGCTATCATCACTTCCTACTGATGATAATAAGAGCTGAAGGTGCTGAGCATATTGTAGGATCAGGCCTTAAATTCTTACTTCTTGAACCTTTTGCAGGATTGGGCCATGAACCAGATGACTGTGGGAGTCAAAGCAGCATTTATGGCACAATTTTTCACAGCACTGCAGCACTTTAATAAATCAGGGGCTACTTCAGCCTGTCAGCTTCCTCAGGCAGCCTTGGGAGATATACCTCCCATAACATCCTTGTAAATCAGTGATGGGAATCAGTGCCAGTGTTCAACCAACTTTCTAACATCAGAACAATCCATAACACAAGTGGTGAGAAAAGGGCCAAATGGAACAGCGAAGTACACACTTACCTTTCTTGGTTTCACTTTGTCATGGTAGTCGTACTGAAAGATCCCCTTGTAGCTAAGTCCCAACCACCAAGGAATTCCCTGCTTGTCCTAGGAGATAAAGCAGAGGGAATAATATTGTATGAAAGGGGAAGATCCTTATTGATTCCCTAGTCCATTATTCAGGGGCAGGGATCGTCCCCTACCGTGGATACTGCTAAATTATCTCTGAGAGGGTCCTCATATCCTCAAATGGAGTCTGCCTGGCTTTTGTCAAAAAAGCTACTAAAAGTATCCCTATGGAAGCACAGCCCTTAGTTCCTATAGTAATGGTTCATCCTCTCCCTTTCCCCACCCCTTGTGCAAATTAGTCTCAACATTATTCCCTCTGGCCTCAGAGATTGGAGACTGGTGAACGAGAATAGCCCAGCTGACTTGAATTATGCTGGAGAACTTTGACATAAATCTACAAAACACTGTATTAATGTGAGGCGAAGGCTACCAAGCGATAAGGTCTGACAGGCCCAGACCCCAAAGACTTTGCAGTAAAGCCATTTTATAGAGTAATGGATGACATTTGATATGAGCCTCTTTGTGATGTAGGTAATTGGAACCCTCCGTGAAGTTATATCCGGTTCGTTAATGTGCCAGAGAAGGGCAGGTTAAAAAATAGCACCAAAAAAAAATGCAAATCCAGCCAAAAGATGGAAGAGGTCTAAACTGGCTGTCACTTCTACATTCTGCATGCAGGTTTGATCCAAAGCCCCAGGATCTGTGAGCTGTTCTGCTGAACGTGTCTGAGCTCTTACATTTTAGAGGGACCGGACCTGCAGTGCCTGACCCAACACCCACTAAGGGTAATATTAGCTACATGCTTACTGATAACTTGAAGAGTGCCCTGGGACAACTTCTGGGAGCAAGTGCTTGTAGATTGGGGCGCCAGAGCCCAATTCATCAGTCCTTTCCTATTTCATGGAAGTCAGTGGAAGCTGTCTCACCTGTCCTATGAGAAAGGATGGGCAAACTACTCTCTCGCTCTCCAAACATAGCCCACAGAGTCCTACAATAGGATTTCCAGCTTCTCTTTTATTTATATAGAAGGAAAAAATCAGAAGAGCTATCCTTGTGATTTTTATCATCCTATATTATTATTATCCTATATTATTCTTCTTCTTTTTACAGTGTCATAAGTGGGAAAGACGTTTTGCAGAGAGACATGAAAAATGCCCCTGTACATACAAACTTACTAGTACAGATAGAGAAAGATAAAAGATATCAAAACCCACCAGCAATGAATAGGGGGAAATGCTTTGGGGAAAGCAACTCTAGTTTCCTTTCTGTGTTTATTGATTTCACTAGTTAAAAAAAAACACAAGCCTCCATCCTTGGTCAAGCAGCAAACAGATAATGGATCAGCCCCAGGGAATAGCCATCAGCCCCAGGGAAGGCCCCTAGTGATTAAGTGCAGGAAGCTGCCATCTATAAGGTGCCAATAACGGCAGGTCCTTGAGCCACTCCTAGCAAGCTGCTCATATGGCAACAAGAGGGGCAAAATCCAGGTATCTCAACACTATCAGCCCCTGCCAATGGCACTTCACTTTGGCACCACTAGTTCCTGTTGCTGCTTGCAGGCTGACTGCAATCACTCCAGCATTGTGGAGGGGATGCTGGAATTTTATCTTGAAGAACAGGATTTTCCTTTACTGAATTGTATTTACTAAACAGGCGCTGCAGAGTTGAAACAAGTTTACCTTAACAAAGGAAGTGGAACAGGACTTTTAATAAAGTGTATTGTACATGGAGCCTAGGGTTTTTTTTTGTTTTGTTTTGTCACTATTGTCAGTTTAATTCGATAATTGGCTTTTTTCAGTGGCACGTACCTTCACTGCATAATAATGGACTCCATACGTCGGGAGGGACTCTACAATGCTCATGTAACTGCAAAACGAAACAAAAGAGACAGGCACATGTCTGAGAAGCAGAATGGAGCTTATACATTCTCCTGAAAAAGCCCATGCTTTAAAAAAAAAAGTTACTGAACGGGAGACAGGAGACGGGAGACAGTTATGCAGAATTTCCAGCCCTGTACAGAATATCGCAGAGCAAATACGGCCTCCTGGCATTTGCATTTCTCACTTACTTTACAATTGCTTGGCCCCTTGTCTGTCCATTCAGCTTCTTGTAATGCTCGATGACTCTGTCCTCACTGGAAAGGGAGAAACAGAATTGTCTTATTTTTCAGTCCAGCTTGCTAATCAGGGAAGACTGCAATAGCTCCGCAGACATTTTTGTTAAGTATGGCTACCAGCCCAGGGAACTGGTTGGGGGCGCTGGGCAGAGACTTTAAGTAATTTCAGAAATACCAGAACAAACCGGAAAATAAAAATGGATTTCAAAGAAAGTTTCCTGGAAGATTTGAGTTTTACAATGGGGAATCAGGATCCGTTGCTTCAGATTTTCTCCTTTGTGCCTCAGTTTCCTGATAATAACTCTCCTGAATAAGTGCAATGAGGCTACCTGCACAAAGTGCCTTGACATACCTGGTTTTTATTTTGCCTTGGTTCTTGTAATCATCTTGCAGAACCAAAGGACCCTTTGGGTCACCCGAGCTGCTGAAGCGAATGGCCATCTGAAACAGTGAGAGTTGAGGAGCACGCCTCACTGCTTCAGCACAGAGGGACAAATCCCTCTGTTCATCTTTACTGAAGCATTCTGGAGACTTCTTATTAACAATGCGCCATGTCCTCGTATATACAGAGCTTCTGAGGTTAGCCCCAGCTACAGAGTAAGAATAAGAGTAAGAAAGAGAGAGAAAGAACCTTGCAACTCCAGCCTTGAACAGCCTCCTCTTCCCCTTCTTTACTGATGCTCGTATGGATATTGAGATAGCAGAACCACCGCACACTATGAATTCCATTACAGGGGATCCAGCAGGGCTAATTATGGGCTAGGGCTTGTGTGTCACTTCCATGGGTCTCCTTTAATTTCAGACAAATTTCTGCTGATTTGCACCTATATACCTGAGGGCAGACTCCAAGCCTGCTTTTCTTCTCACACTAGATTTATACTGGTGTAACTCCAATGGGTCTGATCTACACCGATGCAAATTAGGAGCAATGCCCATGAAGTCAGCTGAATTACACTGGTATAATACTGATGTGACTGGAGTGTCAGGCCCTCAGATATGCACTCAAATGTCCTAGCCTTCATGTCTTTACACTGAAGATGAGGTATCTTTGCTGTGCCTTCAGGAGGCACAACACAGAAAACTCCAGCGTGGTGGGAAGGAAGGTGATGGTGACTTTACATCACTTTGGTACCCTCCAAACTTGAGCTACAGAGGACTCTAGAAGAGGTCAGACTGTGCTGGGGGCACCTCTCTATGGGCTGTAACACTGGATCAACTTGTATATGTGCTCGGGGGTGCGTGGTGGGGCAGTTAGAGAGGTTCCCAGGGAACTGCTCTAATTAAAATGCTTCACTGTCACATGTATTAAGTCCCAAGACATTTAAAAATGGCCATGAGGGACTTTATCTAAACTTCATTCAATGAGGCCCAGCATGAAAGCCAGTCAGAAGGGCACACACATAGAGAGCACAGCCTGCCTGGAACCATCACCCCCATTCAATGAGGTCTACATAAGGAGTCCTGTGGTCATTTAAAAATGTGTGGGGGCTTAACACACGTGACACTGCGGCAACGCTGGAGCCTTCTAATTAGAACGTGGAGCACACTCGATTAATTGAGTCTGCTCTGATGCGCTCTAATTAGAAAGCCAACGAGCATGTGCATAGGCAACCATTGCGTAGAACCTTTGCAGAACTCCATCCTGAAGCCCCCCCAGCATACTCCGTCAACAGTGCAGAAATCTGCCAAACTAACCTCAAAAAGTTGCTAGGTTGGTCTTCTAAAGTCATCGGAAGCGTCCCTAGATAACTGAATAGGTATGACATATCACAAACTGATACAGGACCCTTAATGGGGCATTCTGTCACTAGGAAATCCCCCAAAAGTTGTTCTATCTAGGGACAAAAGCTCCAAGTTGGTGACATTGGCTCCTGGCCGTGGTGAAGCAGCCATCTGGCTGAGGGACTCTTTTGTCAGGAGGAAGAGAAGCATGGCGGGTTTTTCTGCTGCTGCAGAGAAGGCCAGAGCAAGCTGGGGTGGGGTAGGAAGTCTGATGAGCTCATCTCAGATGCTTTGAGACCCCCGGGGCCTTGATTGGAAATCATCGCAGATCATGTCACATAGCAACAGTTCTGCTTACATAACACTACCTTCCAGCTTCTGTCTTCCCAGTCCCGTTTTGGTTACCATGCCACAGACCGTTGCAAAGGAGCTCACCTGTCTGTGCTGTTTAGCTAAAGGCCATTCACAATCCCGTCTGCGACACACAATGAGGGGCTGTGCGGAGAGCGCCATGACGTAGACGGGAGATTATGCACGCAGGTGGGGGAATCAGACATCTGAACCGAGGAGGTCCTCTGTTCATGCAAAAGCACCATAATAATGCAAAGGAAAGGAGGAAAAGCAAGGCAGGGGCAGGGTCTGTCTCAAGCAGAATGGCTGTCAGAGTTCAGCAAGCAACTGCCAGCTGTTCTCTAGCCTATCATTCCTGCAATGTGTTTATGTGCAAGTAACTGCCTCCCTCATGCACTCCCTTGGGATCAACTTCGCCCACTAATCCTGCCAAAATAACAAAAGTTGTCAGCGAGCCAACGTGTGCTGCTGGGTGGTCTTCCAACAGGGTGCAACCTACTGTCCAGGGTGCCATTCCTCTCAGGCGCTACATCCATGGGGAAACGAATATGACAGCTCTCCTGCCAAACAGCACCAAATCATTTGCACATTCAGTAAATGAAACATAAGCAAATCCTATTGCCCAGAAGCTGGATCCTGCCCTTGGATGCATGCAGGTGGCTTCCCCAAAGCCCGCAGAGACTGTACACATGCATCTATGCCCTTTGGTACATAACAGTCGCAAACAAGATTAACTTGTGGAACAAGGACTGAATGACACGACTGCACAAATGCTGGAAGGTCTCTAGACAACACTGTTCCTAGCAATATAGAAGAGCAGAGAGGACGTACAGTCCTTTAACATGGCTTCATAGCCTGTTATTATATGGGAGTCTGATTCACTTGTGTCTCCGGCATCACAGAAGCCCGTGTGAGAGCAGAACCAGGCCCCATAGGTTGTTCTTTGCTCTGGTTCTGATTCTTTGTAGTTTTTTGATGAGATGAATCCCTGGCATTAGCTCTGTACAGCACAATGCCGGCGAGGAACAGATCTCTCTCCCTGTTTCCTGTCCCATATCTGCATGCTGTCTGCTTTTGTTACAAATTCTTAAAATGGATAATTACACTTTTCTGACACTGCCCGTGAAAGCTAGTCAAAAGTACAGCTCCCTCAAAGGAAAGCCAGGTCTTCAGAAAGCTGCCTTCTGGGGAGATGTGGTCCAGTGGATAAAGCACTGGGCTAGAACTCAGGAGAAAGGTATTTTCACTTCTGGGTCTGCCACTGACCTGCTGTGGGACTTCCCTCCTGTGCCTCAGTTTCCCCATCAGTAAGATGAGGAAAATGATATACTTACCTTCCCTTGAAAAATACTTTTAGGTCTACATTTGAAATATGTATGAGAGCTAGCTCTGTAACCCTCCTTTCTGAAGGTCTCGTGCACTTCTGTTAAATCATCTACCCTGGATTATCAGTGACACTGTGAAAGCCCACTGCCTTGCAGGCCTCCTTTCACACAACAGATTTGTGTCCTGCTCTCTCTTTCCTGCTGCCACATGCAAGAAATCATCAGACACAGAGGTCAGGTTTCTGTCTCCAGTGTCAGTCCATGCATGGGGGGTCACCGTGACATGTGCCAATAAAAACAAGCACGATAATTCACCGGGCAGGATGAGAATTAGCAGAGCTTACAGACATTCTGGTTTATCATTTCAGCTGTTCCTCTTCAGGCTGTTATGTGGCTAACTCTTCCTGACAGCTGAGCGAGTGGCAGGGCATCGTCTGGGGCCACCTGCTGACCTGACCGTCATGGCACGGACTCCAGATTGCCTCCATGTCGGCGATGTCAACTCATCTCGTAATACATGATGGCTGTAGAGGGCACTCGATGGATCATTAGTGCCTTGAAATCATATGGAGCTGACATGCTACTGCCTGCCTGTCAACTCATACACATCCATGTGAATGCAGCTAAACCTGTACATGAATGATAGTCTACAGGCAAGGATTGTTATAAAGCTCTTATAAATGTGAGGATTGAGAACAGGCTCTGGTAGTAGCAGCTGGTAGAACTGGGAGGCAGACAAACCTCCAGGATTTCGAAAGGGCATGGAGTCAGACTGAGTTCCTGCGATAAGGACAAGATATTCAGATGGATTCAGCCTGCATTGTTCTGAGTGACTGCCCATAGGTTTCTGGGCCTTACCGAGAGCTGAGCTCTTCTGAAGTTGTGGCCCAGAGCTCCTTTGTCTCTGCTGGCACGTTATACATTTCAAACGCTGTCCTGAGATTTGTTAGCAAGGAGCCAACAACATGGGCATTTACTTACGGGTTACTACAGGTAACACTATATGCTAAAGGGTAGTCCTTCCCTGTTGTAAACATAGCAGTGTTTATGAGAGCTCTGGGCCTCGTTGGGTGAGCGCTGTAAGCTCCTAAATCATGCAAGAGAATAGACTTTCAAAGGCCTATTGTTGCCTGCAAGGGGACTTGTGTGGACAGATCTTTGTATCCGTATGCACAAGGCGCAATGCAGACATAAGATCTGGATCAGAGTGGAAGTGGTGTTCTGCACTGCGTTTAAAGAAAACCTAACCTGAAGTTTGAGGCTTAAGTTTTAAGGGGGGATTCTCAAAGGGGCTGAGGAAGGGAGCTAGGAACACATTTTCCATTGAAAACCAGAGGATGTTTGATAACTCTTGAATATTCCACCTGGGCAATCCAATCTTCACTTTGCTCCTCGAAGTTTCCTTGGGAATTTGTTGGGTGTGTGTGGGCAGAGGCACACATTAGCTCCCGGTTTAGAAGCTACTTGTTTGTTAAAGATACAACAGAAACAGTCAGAAAACCAAACCCAGGTGGAGCAAAACTTTTTATGTTTCCTATTAATTCATTTTGCATTTAATCTAACTTTGTATTTCAGTCCTGTTGACTATGTACTAGAGGCATTGGGTGCAGACACAGAGCCTGGGTCAGTCCTCTCCCACCCTTCCCCACCAGGCATCAGCAAGCAGTATGGACAGTGTGTGTCATGCAGTGCAAGGCATTCTGGGAATTGTAGTTCTCTAGAGTGGGAGTGGTGTTTCCTGCTCAGGGGGGGGGGGGGGGGGGAGAAACTGTTTAGCTTATTCTTTTGCTGCTGAAGCCCATGTAGGGAAGGCAAAAGTTGCTGATGTCAGTGGCAAAAAATGGGGCCAATTTCCCCCCTTAGCAGCAGTGAGCTCTGCTGCCACTCTACAAAATTACAATTCCCAAAATTGTGCCCCATGATACACACTGCCCTTGCTGCTGCAATGTGCAGCTGGGAAGTGCAAGCAGAGAGGGAAATGGGAGAGCGAGACACCCCTCCCTTGGGGCATGTCTCCCTCTTGCCCACCCCACGTTATGCTGCTGGTACCTACCTTTAGGGCCGGATTAGGACGTGGGCACGACTGGCCTGTATTCAGGGCCCTGTTTCTGGAGTTGCAGGGTGGGACCAGAATCTCAGATTTCATTTAAAGCCACCACCATCTCTCTAGCCATCACAGACTAACAGAAAGGTTCGCAAATGTGACATGTGAGTGAAGAGAGCCTGAAACAGCAGCTCTGAGAAGGGGATTTTGTCTGATTATACTGAAGCCTGCCTTATTACTCAAAGGAGGGGAGCCAGGGCCACAGTGCTGCCTAAGGGAAGGGGCACTGGAGGAAGTGCCCCTCCTTCCAGCTCACTCTCCCTTTCCCTTCTCTGCTTGCACTTCCCAGCTGCACACCGCGGCAACATGGGCAATGTGTGCCATGGGGTGCAAGCCATTCTGGGAATCCTAGTTTGGTAGTATGGAAGGATACGAGGCCACAAGGGCTCATGCTGGTGGTGCCTAGAGTCCTAGATGGCCTTAATTCAGCTCTGGCTATGAAAAACTCAGAACTCATCATGCTGGTGTCTGGACACATAGTCCACCTTCTATTCGCTAGGCAGTGCTCACAGGAAGAAGAACAAGTACCTTTGCGATTATATCCCACGCCAGGGGAGGAGTGAAAAGACATCCACAATAATTTGCATTCAAGAATTTCCATTCGTGCTGAGTACATATGCAAATACATCATTATATATGGATGAAGGATAAAAAGGATCAAATAAGACCGCACAGCCGATGAACGTGCACACACCGAAATATCCTTGCGGCGCTGGAAAATCACGCCCCATCACTTTGTGCTAACAAGAAAGAACCAGAGCATGAACCAGATAACAAACAGAAGACTAAAGTGTGAAATTGCCTTATGCTGCAGAACCAGAGCAAGATGCAAAGAAGCAGAGGCAGCGTATAAGGATTGAGAAGGCAATTAGTGCTTTAAACATCCTTCCATGGAGATCATTTAAAGTCTACTCGTTGTTTCAGGGAAGTGGCTTCGGGCCTGAGTCATCATTCACCTCTTTCCAGTGGTAAAACTAAAAGTATTTGGGGGCGTAGGACACACTTTTCTAAAAAATAATAAGCTCTGAATGTAATAAAAGTTGGGCAAGAGCTTGGTCAGCGGAGTCACAAGGGCGCTGCAGGGCTAAGGTCACTTGGTTATGGGAAGCAATAAACTTTCTGACCTGGGGCCTGAACCTGCAGCTCTCAGTGGTCTGTCCTTACCCATGCATGACTTGCATGAACTTAATCAGGATCATGAGGGAGAACTGCTCTTTGGGAACAACTGTAAATAAAATAGTATATGAAGCAGGTTCTCTGGCCTGGGTTGCCTGGCTCCATTTAAGATCCAAACCAAGGGAGTATGTGTATAAGGAAACTGGTCATCACGCCACGGTTGTGCAGTCTCTGCTCTTACACTGATCGTGGTAGGAGCTTGTCAAGATCCACGGGAGCTCAGGGTCTGGCATGGCACAGTCTGACCATGGGAAAAGGCAAAGTGTGTGTAAGTGGGGTTGGGCTGAGATGGGAGGCGCTGGGCCTTATTGTGAAGAGGAGACCAAGAAAGCAGACGGCTCTCCCACTCTGCCTTGTAAAAGGCAGTGGCTGCTAGGCATTCTCTCCTATATTTTTATCACAAAGGCTTAGTTCATTGTGAGAGTCTGGAGAGGGAGAGAAACACTGGGGGTCCGTACATGCCACAGCCTCCAATGCTGAGCTACAGCCCCGGTCTCTAAACCTCTCTTGATGAGCAGAAAAAGCCCATAGAGATTAAGCGCTCCCTGGTGCTGCACCAGTTACAGCTACCTCTGGAGATGCAGCTGGGCTCAGAAAAATGGAGAGATCTCCCGCAGGGGAAGAGAGATCAGAAACCTCAAAATGGAAACCGTATTCCCTGCCATCATCAAATTACCAGGCTGCAGAAATTAAAGCAGCAGATAAGAAGACTGCACTCCCCTTCTTCCCTTCCCCCCTGCTGCTTGGCACCTAATGCTTTAAAGACAGACATGAAAGGGTCACCAACAGAAAGGCAAATCAGTGCATCTCAGCATTAACCCAGGGCTTTCCCCCAAACTAATTCTCCTGTTTGCACAGATGAAAAGGAGGGGAGGAGCAGACAGAGGGGAAAGGATTCAGGGGGCAGGCTGACTTCAACTGAGACGCTGCATCTGCTGCGAGGCGCAAACAGATCATGTTTCCAAAGCAATAGAAAGAAGGATGAACAAACAATGCAACTCATAGCACCTAGAGACTGCTTGATCTAGTCCAAGCATTGTACAGATCCCTGCTCTGAACCTCTGAATACCCACAGGCCAAGATAAGAGGAGAGCCAGGCCCCTGGGCTTTGGGGATCCCATACAGAGATCAATTAGTTCATGCTCAGGAACTAATCATTTACCCACATGAGCAGTTCCAGAGCCTGTTTCTTCCCCATCCTGCATGGTGTGTGCCTGCTTATACTCCAGTAAAAACAGCACAGTGGGCGTAAGATGCTGCTGTTCCAACCTGATCAAATGCCGTAACTGCTTTCCACCACTGCAAATGGCTTCAAGAAGGCTCAAGACAGAGGCAAACTAGACGCATGGACTTGAGTAGGATTTCTTTGGGTGAGTCAGGTGAACAGCTTGGGGCTCTAACCTCTCAGTGGGTCAGGCACCCATTTAACAGAAGGGGAAACTGAGGTACAGAGGGGCAAACCCAACTTCACAAACATCACCCAGCAAGTCACTGGCCAAGTCAGGAGCTCCTGGACTGGGTTCCTGTTCTCACATTGTTAGACAGGGCTGGCGCACAGCAGAGGAGAGGATTAGAAGTGTCTATACAGAGAAATATCTTACCAGTAAGCCAAGGATGGATGCTCCTTCAGTGCTGGTGTTGGGAGAGCTGGAAGCTTCTTTAATTCGCTCCTTACAATTTCATTGCTGAAAAAGAGAGAGAGTTCGAGTTCAAAGGGGGGATCAAGCTACAGGAACACAGCCACAATATTTGATATGACCCGACCCAGCTGGCTGGCTGCTCTGGCTCTGCATCTGTTCCTCTTTAGCAAAGTGCACTGGGGTTTCCTTTCTTCCCCGTATTTATTTATCTTAAAGCCGCGTAGTAACTTTTCCCTCCATTATCACAATCGGAGGGGAGCTCTCCAGATGGCTGCATTTATTCCTTTCAGTGCATTGTCTCAGGATGTAGAAACCGCAACGTTACCATTTCATGGAGCAGCTCCGTGGGTAGATTCATATGGACAGAAGAGCAAGGGAGGGAGGAAAAGAGGGCTACGACTGCACAAGGCACCTTTGTTTAAACAATCCTGGCCTGATGCAAAATGCAGTATGTGTGCCCCCCAATCCTGACTGAGTGGGGCCAGCTCGAGGTCTATGTCCTGAATGGATCTAGCCATCTAGGAGCAACAGAGAGTCGTATGCCTGGATCCCCCAGCCCTCTCACTGCATCCCATACTGCTTTACATAAATTTGCTGACCTCTGTTGGCTTTTTGCCCCCAGTTCTCCAACTGTTCTAAGACCTGACTGCTCCAACGGTTAGGATCCTTCTAATTTCTAGTCTAAATATGTGCGGCCAGATTATCCACACTGGCTCTTGTGGCAAAACCGTCCATTAATTTAAATAGTTTTCCTTCCCTGGCGCTTACCCCCCCTGGATGTATTCACAGGCAGCAATTATCTCGCTGCTGGAGGTTTGGTCCTGTCCCCCTCCATCGACCAGTGACCTCCCATGATGGCTATGCTATGCTGGAACAGCATGCTGATCGGCGGAGGGGAGACTCATGGCAGTGGAATTGTTGTAGGCGCACCTATACTCTTGCCTCCCTCCCCAAGCACAGAAGTACATTTTAAAAGTTTTAGAAGTAACACAGCTTCTTCCAAGAGCTGGGAAGGAAAACAGAAAAAGAGGGAATTACTTGATTGCTTGTTCTATGTTTATATACTTAGGCCAACATCCAGTTCCGCCTTTCAATGCGGAGGTGACATGGGTTTGGCTAACTCTACCTGCAGACTTGACATTTCAGGGCATTAACATGGATTTTAGATGCTGCTCCCCCCCCAGTTGGGTTGCAAACAAGAGGAGGAGGAGGGAAATCTTTCCCCTTGTATCCCAATAGTTAGAGCACCTGCCCGGAGAAGAAAAGACCCAGGTTCAAGGCTCCCTTTACCCAGAGGAAATTCGAACCTGTATTTCCCACTTTCCAGCAAAAGGCTCCAACCACCAGGTCTTGGCCCCACCTGGTTCACTGGGCATCCAACAGGGGAAGATACTTAAAGCCAGAGGCAACACAAGGTAGAGGGACTCAAGCCCCATGGCTTTGCAAGGTGGGCACTGAGAGGGAGCTCCGTGTTTGAGTTTCTGGCTCGGGCTCCAATAGTGTTTCTGCATTTTGCTTGGACAAGATGAATAGACAGCAATGTTTGTTGCTTGCTGTATTTGCAACAAATAGGGTAGTCTCCTGCTCCCAGATACCCACCTAAGCACCATTTCTGACATTGTGAAAAGCTAGAAAAAGCCAGCACAATATCATTTCTCCAAGGAACAGCCAGCCTCCACCTGACATGTCACTGGTGCTTAGGTGGGTCCCAGAGAAAAAAGATTTGTGTCAGTTCTGCCATCAACACCGAGCAGTCTGAGACGTTTCCGCAACGTGCCTGGGAAAAAAGGAAGTTCCAAAATCAGACTTGGCAAGACCAGAGAGATGCCAGATATGACAAGTGTGGTGTGACTCACTGTCCTTGAGGGACTGGGAAAGTCCCAGAAGCAGCAGTGGTAGCCTGTGAAAGCACAAACAGGCCCCACCTTGCTGCCAATGGCACGGTGACCATGGTGGCTGCACTCATGCCCATGCTGGATCCAGACCGTGAGCAGCTCTGCAGTCTGGGTTTAGCCCAGGCCTCCAGGTGAGTCTGACATCCTTGAATGAAAAGATTGAATAACAATATGAAGCTAGATTATGACTGTCCATACAGAGGTCAGCTAACCACCTTGAAGGCAGGTGGGGCAGATACTACTGACTAACTAGCCTGGGCATTAGAAAGTTCCTAATCTTGACTCTTTTATGAACTTTAGCAAGTCAAGTAACCTTTCCACCTCAACTTTCTCATCTATGCACTGGTGGTATTACCCATCTCCCTCTGGGTGACATTGTGAGAGCATTTGATGTTTGCCAGTTGCTTTGCAGGTGGACCGTGATAAATAGCCGTAATCTATTTTAAGCAAGGTTGCACGTGCCATTGGGTTGCAGCAGATGCAGAAGCTTTTTGGAGCAGCTATGGTCAGCTACAGCTGTAACTGCTGGCCAAAGCTCCTAATTCTTAGTGACCTAATAATTAATGACATTGAATAAAAGGGAGGCAATGAGAAAAGGGAGGTCCTTGTATGAGAAGGTGCTATCGTGCATGCAGTATTTTACAACTGCCCATGTTATAGTGTAATATGAAATGCTGCAGGTTAGCTCTTGTAATCCTTTAATGAGTCCTAATTGCTCAAATGCCGTTTCATTACACAGAATGAACATTCAACATATAATTGTTGAAGATTACAATCTACAGGAACATCTATATGATTTTCAAATGTTACTTAGTACACTCCCTTCCCCCCTCCAGTTCCTTGGGGGTATTTTGCTGGGGGACACTCTTGTGATCTCCTATAAAAGCATCAGGTTTCCTGACTCAAAAAGCCTAACAAAGGCTGACTGTTTGGGGAGTGGTTTAAAAAGGCTGTTTACATGGTGTTTCTTTCCCAAAACCTGGAGACAAAAGTTTTATGGAAGGTTTCAGGTTTAGTACCATTGCTATAGTTTGAGGGCTAAAACCCTGATCTTGTAACATTAAAACAAAAGCCATTTTGAGCTTTTTAACTGATTTTAATCAGTGTTGGACCAGGCCCTTAATTTACCAGGATTAAATTAAGGGAAACATCCCAGCAACACTAGCAATACGCTCTGATCTTCTAAGAAAGCAGTTCAAAAGGAACCTGGTACTTTCCAGCATCTTACTTAGGGTTTGTCTTTATCAAGGCAGCGGTACATCGCTGCGAGGATGGGTCTGAGCATGCCCTGCCCCGAGTCTGCTGACACACTACAGAATTCAAATTTGCCTATGATGCTGCTCCGGGCCTGTCCCCAGCACCTCCTCTCAAACCCTTGGTGTCCTGCTGATTTGAGAAGGGGAACAAGTGGGTTCATGGGGGAAGTTGGGGTTCTGGAGTTAATCAGCAGACTTGAGAGAGAGTGAGACAAGTTTAGACCCTTTTTCCAAAAGACCAGCTGCCAATACAGTATACACAAGTTCTTAGAGCAGGGGTGGGCAAAATGCAGCCCGTGGGCCAGATGCGGCCATTCTATCCAGCCCACGGGACCCCTAAAATTTTAGAAAATTAATATTTATCTTCCCTGGGCTGCCTGTCGTGTGGCCCTTAATGTCTTGCCAAAACTCGGTAAGCAGCCCTCTGCCCGAAATAATTGCCTGCCCCTGCCTTACAGGCTCTGGATGAGAAGCAGCCTGTACAAGTGAAGGCTGGGTCAATGCAAGCAGGCTGAAAGAATCAGGGACCTCATTCTGCACTGTGAAAGTTTTGCCTCTGACTCCAAGACCTGAAAGATCATAATAAAATAAGAGCCGGAACGGACCTCAAGAGGATCAAGTCTTAAGTGTCCAACTCCCACTGAAGATGACTGGATCCCGGGGCACCTGATTCCTACAGGTTTCCGTGCAAGTCCCTGCCTAAATTAATCCTTATTTCAGTCCAGTCAACCAAATCCTTTGGGTTGCTCTCTGAAAGAAAGGGGAAAAGCAATTTCCTCTAATAAAAAGGCTAGTGTCTTTTTATTTTTAAACTTCACTGAGTGATGCATCACCAATTATTCTCCCAAAATTGAGGCGAGGGCATTAGAAAATCCTTGAAACCCAGCAAAAAGTAGCAAGGATAATTCCATATGAGGAGCTATTCAGGGAAATTACACAGGAAAGCTTCTATTGACTTCAAGGGTCCTGGTAGTGGATGTGCGGCTCTGCTTGGAAAGCAGTGGTTTGGGGCAGGCCACTGACATCAAACATTGGGTTACGCTGTTTTAGTCTAGCTGTCCCAAACACCCCATGAGCTTTGGGGTTTCTTATGTGCTTTATTCTGTTTCAGGTTTGCAGATAGGATTCCTGCTTGATTTGTATGGCTGTGTGTTACCACCCCATAAGCAAAGGTAAAGCACATAGCTAAGTAGGTCTTAAACACTAAAGGCATTTTTACGTGTGCTCCCAGTATAGCACCGGGTGCTTTTAATTAGAGAGCTGCACAAATTAGAAGCACCAACACATCGCATGCATCAGTGGCGTAGTGCCTCCACGCGCTGAGAAGATGGCAGTTGTGCACTTTGAACTGAAGCACATAGAGCGTGTTTTAGTTCAAAGTGCATTGCCACCATTTTCTCAGAGCGGAGGTGCGCTGGGCCTCTGATACACGTGACACACAAGGTTGCCAGAGTGCATCAATTTACATGCTCCAGCAGACTCGACTCATTGACTCTGCTCTGACACGCTGGATTTCCAGCACATCGGAACAGGCTCCCCGCGTGGGTGTAAATGCCCAAAGACTTTGAGCAGAAGAGAGTTTGAAGGCCAGAAATGCACTTTGATTTTGCCCTTTGACAGGGACAGGTAAGGGCTAGGTAGGTGAAGAGGATATCCTTACCATTGTAAGTTGGCTGACTGTATCAGCAGTGCCTTTTTGTAGGGGGTGCACTGCCACACTCAGGGGGTGCACGTGCACCTGGGTGCACTCCTTACATGTCGCCAGTGCTCTAGTGCCTCCCAGCTTCTAGCCTGAGCCACTGCAGGTATCTGCCTGCATTTTTTCAGTCCAGAGGGGATGTCTGTATGGTTATAAACTGGTTTAGCCTAGCCAGGTTAGACTAACCTGCAAAGACTGAAACAATTCAGGCTCAGGCTTTTTGATTGTCTGTCCCTAGCCCTAAAAAGAAAGACTGGAAGGGACCTCAGGAGGTCATCTAGTCCAACCGCCTGCTCAAAGCAAGATCTTCCCTAACTAAACGTAAGGACATCTGTTTGAAATGGCTATGCTCCTTATTTTGGAAGCAACAGGGAGCATGCAATGAAGGTGACTATTCATGCCAAACACATGACAAGTCATTTTCCCCTCGAGCTGGGGTGGAAACATTCAGCACGGGAGATCTGTTGATTGATGCAGTTAGAAGGGCAGAAAGATGCCACCTGTATTTTCTAAGATCAGCACTGATTTCTATGACTTGATCCCACCCTGCAAGTAGGTTTGACAACCCCCAAATCACATGCAGAACCAACGGCCCCTTGACACCTTGTTGAGATGGTGCAGCGATGTTTTGAGGTCACCTGCTTGTTACTGCGATGTGCTGATGCCGTGCGGCAGTAACGAATGCCCCAGGTGACATGACCCCGCACTTACAATCGGCAGAGGCACCAGTTCTGCAACAAGCGCTCCAAGGGGAAAGCTCCCAGCATTAGAGCTAAGCAGGTGCTCAGGCACTTGGCTGCACTGGGGCTAGAGACCAGCAGTCTCCCCGGGCTGTAAATCTGGCACTGTGTTTTTACACAATGCATCTGCTGACATTTTTTGCCTGCGCTCCAAACATGTGCCTCTGAGGTTTCTTTTTGCTGCAGAAACAAACTTGAATCAAGCACAAGTTCAAAAGTGCAGCCTTAGCAAAACGTATGCTCTCACACGCAATTTATAATCATCACATCACAGCAGCAAAGACAGAGAGCAACTGCAAAGCTTCTCTGCTTCAGAGAATAGCAAATACTATAAGGAACAGCTTTTTAGGAATGATAAGCCTCGAACACTGGACAGTAGCAGCCAACTTCAACCCTGGCATAAGATGGTTCGACTCCTATTGTCTATATATGAAGTTAGTCTTGCTAGCACCATGCTGTATTTGTCTTTAATATTTTGCCTGAGAAATCAAAACTTTGCTAGAGTTTGGCTGCCCCATTAGGAGAGGAAGCTGACTTCAAGGCAGTGGGACTGCATTCAATATGGAGACCCTCTTTAGTAAATGCCAAGTGCTCAGGAAAGGTGATGGACTGAGAAACATCTCACCATGGAACAGATAGAGCGAGGGCAGCAAGACCTGCAAACTTCTCCAGACCTGTCCCTGCACCTTGCTACATGCCTCAGAGAGCATGTGGGTTAGTCTCTAAGACCATACTTTGGCAGGTATAAATAAGTCTACAAGCACAATGCAATGCCATACACAGATGCTAGCTCTGGTCCAGGACCAGTATAGCCCTGTCAACATGGGCTAATGAGCAGGGCAGAGCTAATTACCCCAAGCAGAGAGCCATGCTAAAAATGCAACATTGCTTCTCATTCTGGAGCTAGCTCAGGTTATCTTGACATGATGCTGTGCTGTAGGGTGCTATGCAGACACACGCTATACTCTGAAAGTGTCATTGAGGCTGCCAGTTATAATGGTGGGGAGGAGATCTGGAGGATCGTAATCCCATGGACCATCACATTCAGAAATTGTCAAGCAGCGAAGACCATCATTAGCTAACTGCAGTGGGTGCGCCTTAGGGAAGTGTGGCCTGGTGGACAGAGGGGTGGATCAGGAGTCCTACGTTCTACTCCCAGCCCTGGCCTGCTGGATGATTTTAGGCAAATCGCTTCACCTCTCAGTGCCTCATGTTTCCTATCTATAAAATAGGGAAAAAGGGATTGCTCTCCCCTGGAACCTATTTGAGATCGACAGGTGACAAGTGCTATTTATATAAACTCTGAGTACTATTACTAATTGCTTCCTTCACTCTAACATGAGAAAAGCTATTTGTGGTACTTGTGCTGGCATTTTTTGGGATGTCAAAACCCATCTGCGAAGCTCATACCAAACTTTCCCATGTTAATTATAACTCTGGACCTCTGAACCATCTAGCCCTGTCTACCCTTGAATGATCTGTCTACTCTCCCCTTTCTTTAACTTTATTCAGGCCTCACTTGTCCATATATTTTATGTCCAAGTTGATCTAAGAGACCTGGAAAGGTAGCAGCCCTAAAGCGCACATTATGGAAGGTGTGAATTATCTCGTGGTTTGACTGCATTGGTAAAGGTTGTTTTAACTGCTTTGTTGGGCTTAGCATTGTGTTATAAACCAGCCTGCATGCGCAAAGAGCTGAATATTTCTGAGGGGCACCCAACTAACCAGCCTGGCTGATAACGAAGCTACTCTGAATGGCTCAGAAACAAAGCAAGATTGGGCTTGTGTCTTTTTGCCCCAAACATGTCAGGATTTTGCAAGTCAGTTTGGGCACGGAAAAATAATAGGAAAGAACCGGAGCTTCCTTTTATTGAATGTAACCTTGCAACATCACCACATTCCAGATATCTGCAGGGTGAGGTTACTGTGTTTACATTGCACAGGACATTTTTTACTGTTAAACCATAATTACATTTCAGTGTTGGTTAAAGCCCTACACTCCCAGCCCTGGAGAAGGGAGTCTTCTATCTGTGTATTCATTACCTTCTATGGCACCCAAGAGGTTCCCTGTGTCATGCACCAGTGTACCTCAACCTTGACAGGAGGGACCATCACAAGGAGCTGAAAAGGCAGATCAGCCCACCTACCCATCCATTCACTGGTTTATCTTCTTGGACTAACTGCAAGGGTGATGGTGGTCCTCCAGTTAAATCTGGCTCAGGTTTAACTAAAGTAACACATGCTACATGTGCATTTTTAACACAGGCATGCTCCTACTGAGTATCAGTGAGGACACCCACGAACTCTACACGGACCTCACGTGATAATGACTGTAGGTCTCCACTGATCTCTCTCTGATCTACCCTGCTCACTTGTAAAATGTTGTATGTTCCATTAACGGTGCCCAGATCAAGCTAGCCTTGCCACTCCCTTGAACAATATAACATTCCTCAGTGTCAGGTTCAAGGGCTGTCAAAACTTGGGGTGCCACCAAACCGTAGCACCCAAACTCAAAGCCCACCTCTGAAAAACCTGGGCCTGAGTTCAAACCGGAAGGCCAGCCAGTGACAGATTTTTAACATCACCTCTTGTTGGATGTGTGTTATTAAAACAGTGATTGTCGAGTCATTTCCTTAGTAATTTCCTTCTGCAAACTACTCCATTTCCTGAACTTCACGAGCACATTAAGACATTCAGGAACAATGTAATCACAAACAATGCTGTTTTCCATATGAGGTCCAGTCAAAGTCTGTATTTGGGGGATAAATGAGTTCAGGAAACATCATGTCTAGGCTAGCGACCCCATGAAGCATTCCCATTGCTGTGCAGTTATAAGCGGAGCCGCGTTGCTCCTCTAGTGCACACAGTTGACTCCATTTTTAGAACAAGTCACGCCACAGAAAGAATTGTAAACCAGCTCACCTTGAGAAGTCTCCTTTCGCTTCCTGCAAAATGATGGGAAAGATATTTATCATTAAAATCCACCATGTAAATCAATGTGCAATCTTTAATGTTCAAGGTTCAATCATTTCCTAATAGAGTGCACTGGTATTTTCAGTAGCAGACCTTTAAATGAAGTTGGGGTGCTGTACATATTACAGCAGAGAAAATTCAACAGGGCTAGAACTTGAGCAGACTCCCCCATCCTATCACAGGTGCTAGTGAATTAGCCAGTGTGCTCTTTACACTGTGTGCTACACCTGGCCATCAGCACTGTGTCAGGGCCATGCACTGCTAGAAGATGCCCGCAGTCTAGGTGATTTAGGGTCATTGAAAACCCCTTGACACTTGATTCCAGCCTGAGGATGGATTTTGCATCCCTGCCTCTACTTTCTGATAGATGCAGTATTCTCCTTACATTTCTGTCCTTTTGACCTAAGTGTTTGAGACAGCATGTAATACATACACAGTAAACTGACTTGCATCTGGTCAGTGCCGGAGCTTCTTAATCCAGTGTTGTTCCTAATTTGCCTTCTGTCCACACACAAAACCTTATAATCTAAGCGTGGTGGTGTTTTAATCTTGAGCTACCTGGCTATAGACTTAGCTGGGGCTACAAGCTAGAGTGTAGTTACTGCATGCACTTGGGTGATAACGTATCCACTTTGCTGTGCAGCCTCTCACTGAGGTTGTAATAATTATATCCTGGCTACACAGAGCAGAGGAAGGATCTGTCTTGACTGTTTTCATTAAGGCTTACTTCCAGCTAGCGTTATCCTGGCCACTGGCAGGGATATTTGAGAACTTGTGGTGCTTGGGCGAAGTACCTGAAGATTGGAAGAGGGCCAATGTGGTGCCTATCTTCCAGAAAGGGAGGAAAGAAGATCTGGGAAACTATAGGCCAATCAGTTTGACCTCAATCCCTGGAAGATCTTGGAAAAAATTATTAAAGAAACCATTCTTGACAGGCTAATAGAAGGCAACATCCTGAGGGACAGCCAGCACGGGTTTGTTGCGGGTAGGTCTTGCCTGACCAATCTCATTCCTGATGTATCACCTGGACAAAAGGGAAGAGGTTGATATAATATATTTGGACTTTAAAAAAGCCTTTGACCTGGTGTCCCATGATGTCCTCATGGAAAAAATTGGGCAACTATGGCTTCAACTACACTACAGTCCCATGGCTGGGGAACTGGCTCTGAGGTCGGACCCAGAGACTGGTAGTTGATGGAACCGAATCAACATGGTGCTCAGTGACCAGTGGTGTCCCCCAAGGCTCTGTTCTTGGACGTGTACTCTTCAGTGTCTTTATAAATGATCTGGACTCTGGTGTCAGAAGTGGACTGGCCAAGTTCGCTGACAACACCAAACTTTGGGGAAGAGTGCCCACACTTGAGGATAGGTTGGTGATCCAGGTTGACCTCGACAGGCTTGCAAGGTGGGCGGATGAAAACCTGATGGCATTCAATATGGAGAAATGCAAGGTGATCCACCTCTGGGGGGCGGTGCGGGGGAACCTCACACCACACTTATAGGCTTGGCAGTGCTACACTCAACTAGCACCACGGCTGAAAGAGTCTTGGGGGTCATGATTGACCACAAGATGAATATGAGCCACCAATTAGATACCCCAGCTGGCAAAGCGAACAAAACTCTGGCTTGCATCTACTGATGCATCTCAAGCAAGACCCTGGATGTCATCCCCCCGCTGTACTGGGCCTTGGTGAGGCCGCAGCTGGAGTACTGCATCCAGTTCTGGGCACCACAATTCAGGAAGGACATGGAGAAGCTTGAAAGAGTCCAGAGGAGAGCCAAACACTTGATCAGAGGGCAAGAGAACAGGTCTGATGAAAAACGGCTGCGAACTATGGGAGTCTTCAGCCTGGAGAAGCGCAGGCTCAGGGGTGACTTGTTGGCAGCCTATAAGTACATCAGGGGTGTGCATCAGGATCTGGGGGAACACCTGTTCACCAGCGCACACCAAGGGATGACAAGCTCCAATGGTCACAAACTCCTGCAGGACTGTTTTAGTCTGGACATAAGGCAAAACTTCTTTACTGTCCCAACCCCCGAGACCTGGAACAGACTGCCTCCAGAGGTGGTGCAAGCACCTACTCTGGACACTTTAAAGAAACATTTGAATGCTTATCATGCTGGGATCCTTTGACTCTAGCTGACTTCCTGCCCCTTGGGCAGGGGGCTGGACCCGATGATCTTATGAGGTTCCTTCCAGCCCGTATGTCTATGAAATCTATGAAACTACTGCCTCAATATTATGCCATCCTGGACATGTCTACACGAGCCATTAATACACAGCAATTTACTGTGGAGCTTATTGCTTTGCAGTTCATTGTTCCCAGAAAGCTCCTGGGTGCACTGTTTACACATGTACCCGAACCACAGCACATTGAGCTGGGTTTCAGTAGCCCCAGCTGGCAGGAGGCCTGGGGGTCAGCCTGCCAGCCTGGGGCTGCTCCAGCCAGGCCCAATGTGCTGTGGAGGGGCTGGCTGGGGCACAAGGGTGCTTCAGTGCAGGGCTAGCCAGCAAGCAGCCTCCACGGTGAAGCACCCTTGTGCCCCAGCCAGCTGGCTCAGTGTCTACACGTGTGCTGCTGCTCAAGAAAAAAATCTGCAGCAGGGTAGGGCTTGTATTTACAAGTCCTACCCTGCTGCTGAATTTGTTAGTTTTGTGCACCCTAATAGGGGCAAACCTGCAGATGTTGAGACATTTACTGTAAACTTAATTAGGCAACTGTACAGTAAAATCTCATGTAGATGTGCCCACTGTGTTTGTCTGAGATGGTCAAGAGTTAAGACCACAGCAATCAAGGGTTACAGTGGCCTATCTGGCTTTGGCTTGCACATATATGTCACTAATTGCTTCAGCTATTCATTAGGATGTACAGGCAACAGGTTAATATCACTACTGCTAATTTCTACAATGAGTTTACTGTTTGATGTGTATTCACCCTGCAGGCCAATATGCAATTACTGCAATGTGCTTTTAATTGTTCTCTCTCTCTCTCCTGTTATATAATGAAGGTTGAAACCCCTTTGCACTAACTGCTTCTGTAAGATGAAAAGCTCTATAGAAGTGCAATGTCTATTTATTAACACCTTCTGATGAAATGGCTTAGCTGTTCCACATGGATCCTTTAGGACTGTAGACTCACGGTTGACTGGGAAAAGACTAAAAACTACTGACAAGAGGGGAGAAAAGAGTCAGCTGACAATTATCTTTGGTCTTCTCCCATGACAATCATTGCTTGAAAAAAACAAAACAAAACAAAACCCCCACTTTTTCACAAGGAAAAAAAAGAGGACCTCCCTCCCCTCCATGCCCTTCTAAATCAGGGGTGGTTAAGCCCTGGCCCATGGGCTGGCCCCTGATGCTGTGTCATCTTGCCCATGGTACTTTCTATGGGTCTATGGGGAGCTCTTGAGCTAGGTCCAGTGCTCACAGCAGCATGGGACCCTGGGGCCTGATCCTGGGGTATGGGGTCCAATCTTGCCCGTGGACCAGCCCTACAGCCCTCATCTGGGCCATGGGGCCAAAAGGCTGAGCACCACTGTTCTAAGCAGATTCACTCTGGTTGCCTGTAGTGAACTGCAAAGTTTGCTAGGCACTGTTGAATATTTGTCCTGTATTCCTTTCCTCGTGCTTCAGCTGCTTTCCAACTCAGCTTTTGAGATCTGTTTGCAGGGGGCTTGTCATTGGAGAAATGTGTACCAGAACTCACCGTGAAGCATGGCAGTATAGCCACAGTATTTATATCAGTGTCCGACTGGAGAGAGGAGGTTTTAGTAAAACATGGGGCCAACTTCAAATCTGGTGTAAATAGGTATAGCTATGCCTTTGGAACGGTGCTCACCAGGTCGGGATTTGGCCTATGAAGTTCTCATCCCACCATTTTAGTGCTAAACAGTTCCCCTGGCTCCAGATATGATGCTTCACAGTCCAGTGTCCTGCACAGTGTATAGTCATAGATGTCGGTGCGAAGTGAACGTAAACAGCTGGTTTCTGGGGCCTCACCTGACATTGCTGTGGCTCTTAAGTCGTGAATGCATAATGCCATTTGGAAGCCAGAAGTGGGCAGTGCTAAAAATGGAAGTGCCAAGTACTGCTAGGTAGGTTTCATGGATGCACATTAATAAGGGCTCAACTGTGACCCCTCACACACCTCAAGCCTGATGGGGCATGAAGGCTCCCTTGTACTGGTGTGTGGACTGCTTGGTGCAGAATACTACCCCATCAGTCTGCAGGGGCAGCAGCTGCTGTGGGGATGCTCTTCTTTTCCCTCCTGTCCTGATAGGCAACTCCAGGTGTGACTTGGCATGGTCTTGGCTCCAGCCTGCTCCAAAGTGCCAGTCAGCACAGCTACAGGGGATACAGTAAGGGATGTAACTGGTGCCAGCTAAAGGGCTAGTCCAGATCACTTCCACAACCCTGGAGCAGAGGGGAAGCAGGAACCAGATTCTGAGAGTCACAATCTGGTTCCTGTCCCCTTCCTGGAGCAGCACTGCCATGCGGTGCCCCGTCCTCAACCTGGGCTGCAAGGTTACAATCCAGCATGAAAGGGTCCTGGCTTTTCCCCCCTGGTTTGGCAAAATAATCCCCTTTCTGCTGCCTTCCTGTCCAGCTGGTGTAAGTCCCATAGGCATTATTGTCAAACGCTTAATAACAGATTTATCCCATGTAGGAAGAATGAGAAATTGTTGCCTACCTGCAAGATGTATGCAGCCAATTCAAACACCACTTCGCTGTCTACCTCAATGAGCTCCTGAAGCAAAAATAAAAAAAAGGAGAGTTCACTAACATTTCAGCGCCCTCAGGAAGAACCCGCATCTCTTCCTTGTCACAGCACAGCAAAGTGAGCGGCTCCTGCCTTCTCCTCTGGTCTGACTTGAAAGGGTTCCCAGTACTCCCAGAAGCTGAATGTGCTCATTGTGATGTGGAGGAAACAAAATATGCAAGATGCTGCCCTGGTAAATGAAGCATGACTTATGAACTCAGCCAGAAGGGGGATGTAGGGGCTTGTTGCGAGAGGCAGTCACATGGATTGGGCCCTTGTACAGATCACCCCTACGGAGATTTGGATGTTTCCTGCGGGTTTTTCAGAATGTAATCTATTGTTTTACTGCCTCTGGAAAGAAACACAGAACCAGGACTGAAGTCCTAAATTTAAGGAGCCATGATGATATAGCCAATGGCACACAAGGGAGTGATGTGGCCAGCAACATGTCTGGCCACCTTGGACTCCCAGCCTGAATGACCAGCCACTCACAGCTGGTTCAACTGGAGACACTGGTGTTACATGATGTGCCCATGCAGGTAAGAGGCACACCTCAGTTCATGAGCCACGATAACTGTGCTGCCTCTGCTCCTGGCAAATAAGGGTAAAATAGAGACCATGACCCAGGTGATATGGCATTGCCTGTTCCTTTCTCAGTGCCAGCTTTTAAAAAGAGCTATTGACCTCAGCTCCTCTCTAATAACCCACCGAGGTTACCTTCTGATGAGACCAAGGCTGCAATACAGAAGCTTCCCTCATTTTCCCTGTGCTCAGCTGTTGCTTAACCACCTAATTTAATTGGGCCGAGTCTGCTAATGACGCATGGGTACTGGGGGAATGACACGTATCAGGGGACCACAATTAGGGTGCAAGTTAAATCAATACAAAGAAAGTGCCAGATGATGACATCTGCACCTCACAGGAAGGGAAGCAGGAGAGCCTTGAGAGAAGGCAAGGAGACCTGTGGTGTCTGGGAGCCCAACTAGCTCTCAACGATGTATGTTCTCTCCTACAGCCACCAAAGGTGCAGCTAATGCAGAAGGGGGAGAGTACCCATATCTCCCACCCCGCTTTCGAGAACCATAAAGAAAAGACGCATGCTTTCCATAGCACCCGTTTTCCAAGGGCTATCAGTGGTGATGGCTGGATGACTAAGAAAGCCTTCAGGCTAAGTAAAGACCTTTGACCAATAGGAGTTTACTGTTATCATGCATTATTTATATAGGACCACTGCACATGCACCTGTGGCATGATGACAGAACAGTCGAGGAGTCTTGTTATGGTCCCAAAAGCATGACTGGGGCCTCTCTTTACCCTCGTGTCTCCAGCTGAAGCAGCTGTGAGTGGCTGGTCATGCAGACTAGGAGTCAATGGTGGCCAGACCTACTGCTGGCCACATCACTCCTTTGTGTGCCATCGGCTATAGAGCCTGCTGTGCCTTAATGACAGCGGTAGACTTTTGACTTGATCACATACAGATGAGTGCTTTCCAGAGAGCTCATGGGCCCTTCCTACTTATACCCAACCATGCTGTCTCTGGGAGGAGTATGGTTGGGCCCTTGTCCAGCGAAGTATAGCTGCATGGTAGCTGCGGGGGAATAAGCCGATGGGAACTCCATGCAGAGACCGAGTGGGAAAGTGCAGTCTGCTGGGGGTCCCAGTTCAGTTCTTACCAGGCTGACCCCCACCCCAGCAAAACCCACTGCAGTGTGGGGCCACGCACTCTCTAAGCTTCGTCACTGGCCCCTCTTTTGCTGTGGAGAGATCCTTCCACGGCATATTGGCAGATCCTTTGTACTGTCCTCCCCTCTCCTACATTTAAACAGAGCACCTGGCTTTCTGGGCTGCAGCTCGCAAGTGCAGTGCATACGTTAAAACCAAGCAAGCCCTGATGGAGGCAAGAAGTGAGACTAGGCAGGACCTGAGTGGGAGAGTCCGAATCTGACTGGGCTATTTTTGTATCAGGATGACAGCGCATTGGATTGTGCAAAGTAATGTTTGCAGGAGAGGCCAGACGAAAATAGGCCAACCCAGCTTTTCTGATTCTTTTTTTTTTTCCCACTTTCTTTTATTAAAGCCTCCTCCAAAAAAAGAACAGCGGCTTCAGCTTTTCCTGGCAGCATTCCCAAAGTCAAGCAGTGGGCTGAGTAAGTGTTTGTAATGGCAACCTTGCTGTAGAGCAGAGCTGGGCAAAGACACTGCTGGACCAGGTTCAACGGTGTCCTTGCCTGTGCCTTATCCCTGCTGAAGCCAGGAGACAAGGAAGAACAGTGCTCTGATTGTGCATGGCTGAGACGCCGGAGCAGGGCGAGGCCTGGAGCTTCAGAACATCTTGGTGCTGGCTGATATCGCTTACTGAGCAAATTGCTTGCTGGGACAAGCACAATGCACTTGTTTGTGAATCAGTCATAATCCCACTCGCCTGCTGCTTCCTCACTGACAGATGGGAGGTGAGTCACTAGGAGCCACTTTGCCAGGGAAGTGCTGGGGTGGACACCCAGTTTTCCAGCTGCAAGAAGCCTCTGTTGGATTCCCAGACTAGAACCACCCACCAGGGCCCACCTGGCAGAGGGGTTTGCAGCAGGGCTTGGCAGGTCCAGAGAGAGGTCCCAAGGCAGCCCAGCTGCAGCGGGTCCCGGGGTGAGCGCGTGTGCAAGAATTCCAGGGGCCGCATGGAGGAAAAGGGTCTGGGCATGGATGATCTTGATCCCCCAAGGTCTGCACAGATCCCTGGGAATCTGTAGGCTCAGGGATCCAGCCTTCTGCCAGGATGTATTACACTGGGGCTCTGGGTTAACATCTCAGATGACTCGAACCTGATCCTGGAGTCTCCCCCACTCCTGTTTCTATTGCATGGTGACTTGCAAGTATAGACAGGGCAAAACAATTGTCACTCCCCTCAGCAGCACTTACGATGGGTGAACACGTCTGTACTCAGAGCTATGGAGAGCTCTGCCCAGGGGACACTTTTGTTTAAGGTAACTCGTGACAACAGGCTGGTGTTTCTCAGAAGGCCACAGGCCAGAGGAGCTTTTGGCACAAACAAGTTGCCCTGTGCACTGGCCCAAAGGAGGGGTTTATCTCTCCGCCACCCCAGGTAACAGCTTGGGAAACAGGTCCTGATGTTCAGTTCAGTGACAAGGGTGCCCTCTGCTGATCTATCCCTCTCACTACCTGAAGCCAGTTATCTGGGAACATAGGACAAGAAAAGAGCTCCTGGCCATTGACCCAGTCCCTTGCATTTGCAAGCAACTGATTTGCAGTGATTCCACATTTTTATTCTGTAAATGAACAAAGGCCTTGCTTTCTAAAACACTAGATGATGGACACTTTTTTGGAAGTCACAAGCCCCCTCCTGTCAGCTTTGTGCTTTGATTTCATTTACTTTCCAGGTGGGATCTTGGGGGGTCTGTGGAAAGCAAGCTGTTAGGTTCAGCCCTAAACACTCAAATGTGGTTAAAAAATGAAAGGGGGGAATGAAGAAGCTGGAGAGGAAAAGTTGGGAGGTTGTTGAGGGAGTGGAAATGTCTCCTGGATGGAAGGACTTTAAAAATATGGTCTCTTGGTTCATTTTTTTTGTTTGGATTTACATAGCCCCCTGCCCTGTAACTGAAACAGCAGCATCAGCAAAGCACTTCAAAGACAGAGGCATTGGAGGCAGGATATCCTCTTAAGAGGCACTCAGAGGCAACTGCTATGACTGTGCTGTAATAACAAGCTTGATGAGATGGAGGGCAGGTCTCATCCCTGTTTTATTGATGTTAGGAGGGAAGTCCCATATCTTTAAAGTCAAGTGCCTAATGCCAGTGGACTTCACTAGGAGTTAGGCACCTAAATTCCATATGGGACCTGGGTCTAAACAGCTTGGCCAGAGCTACAGAAAAAAGTCAGTGTATGAGCAGAGATTACAAACACTGTCCATATCTGATGGCCTGCACCGAGGAAAATGTGGTAGATCTGGTCTGCCACAGGTATCCTGTGAAGCCTTGGGCAAGCCACTCACTCCCTCTGTACCCCAGTTCCTGTCTGTATATTGAATATAACTGTTGTCTCCTCAGAGCTAATTCATCTGCATAGAGCATTTTGAGATGCTCACCCTCTCACATCTGTGTCAGGGCACTGTGGGACAGGCAGCTCACAGGGAAGACAGTGGCCAGGACAGACAAATGCCAGCCAAGCAGGAGAGATGCACCATTGACCCACTGCCCCCTCTGAGGGACTTTTCTGTTACTGGGACCTCAAAGCATGAGTCTTTTCTCACGCTGGTGTTATGACACTGATTTCAAAGGACGTTGGTCATGGTGGTCCTCCTTCTTTACTTGTGGTAGGTTAGGGTGTTATGGCTTGTGGTGGTGTCAGGGTTGACTCTGTAGTTTTGCTAATAGGTTAGATAATGGATTTGTATAGGATGGTTTGTATAGGGATGATCTTGTCTCATTCAGGGGGCTGGACTAGATGACCTCTGGAGGTCCCTTCTAGCCTTACTTCTCTAGGACTCCAGGACTTATTTCTAATTGCTTCCCCATAAGCAACAGGAGAATCAATCCTTCAGCTTCTGTTTTAGGGCAGATATAGCAATGGATGGACCAAACTGAAAAGAACAAACTTTGTGAAGAGCTGGGGACAATGATGGACGGTTGTTTGTAGGGACAGGAAGGGAACTCCTGGACCATGGTGTTCCATCTCTTATTTCTGCAGGCAACCGATCAAGTCCTACAAACCTATTCATGACTTACCAAACAAACTCCATCTTAGAAATAGTTACGTTTTTTGCTCCTGATGCTCCTCCACAAAGGCTGTTCCACAGCCTCCATGATGATCAGACATTTCAGGCACCTATACACGAGCAATGAGGCTGCTCTGACACGCTGTAATTCCAGCACATCAGAGCAGACTCAATTAAACGAGTCTGCTGGAGCATGGCAAATACTGCACTACAGCAGCCTCCAGCATCTCGTGTATCAGTGTCCCTGCACCTAAAAATGGCAGTGGGGGTACTTTATCTAAAGCTCATTTGATGAGCTTTAGATAAAGTGCCCCTGCCACTATTTTTAAGCACGGGGGATGCTGATACACAAGACACTCCAGGCATGTTAATTAGAAGGGCTCTCAGAGCCATTCTAATTAAGCTTCCCCCCTCCCCACTCACTTCTGGAGCACGTATATAAATGCTGTTCCAGTCTAAAAGCATTCAAGGCCAATTTATATCCATTAGTCCTTGAACCAACATTGTCCTTTTAACTTAAATAGGTCTTCTGCCTCCCTGGTGTTTGTACACTGATGCATTTATATAGCACAATTGAGGTACAGGCCCCCACCATGACATGAATAGCTTCCTTCATTTGATTAGACTTGCTACAGATATTTATTTTAGCTGACAACCCTTGCTTGGGGCCATGCAAGCAGCCAGCCAACTGCAGCACCCTCGAACTGGGGGTAGACTGAGAATCTCTGATCCAGGTGAAGGAGCCAAACTTTTTTTTTTCACCCCCTTAATCCAATCTTCAAGTCAAAGGGGCCCTTACCTTGTAGATGCAGGACTTTGCATTCAGGAAAAACAGCTCGATGGTGGCATTATCTTTTAGATAAGAGATGCTTTCAATGTAGAACCTGGAAAGGAAAGGAAAAGACAGATGAGCCACATAAGAAGGTTTCAAAGGAAAGCAAAAGAAAGACCACACTTTATTTAGACACTGCTTCCATGAAAGGTATAACCAATGGAGACAGGCAGATTGTAAGAAAAATAAAGCTCTTTTGTTTACTTGTTATAATATTGTGGTTCTGCCCGCATGTCCTTTAAGACGCAATCATTCAACAGGATTCAGCATATATCCTGACCATGCTGAAAGGATTATCAAGAAGATGATTTGCTTTGTTTCCATGTCTCTGTCTGTAAACTTCCCCTGACATCCCAGTCACATGGGGCACCTCTCTTTCACTCTCTGCCCAAAGCTGTGCTGTAGCATTGCTGATTGCCATTAAGGAACCCGCAGGCGGCTGCATTTGACTGGAGGGTGAAATGACTCCTGACTATACCACAGAAAGATGTTTAGCCAAATCCTTATTATTAAAAATACCCACAATGCTTTGGCACTTGTTTATTACTTCAAATGTATATGAATATATTACAAAAAAATTACTCTGTGCAAATGGATTTCACATTCCTCTTTTTATTTGCATAAATAGACTTCTATTCTCCAGTGCTTTAGAGTCCTACTCCTTTACTACCTAATGCACAGCAGCTTTGCCACTGAATTGAGCAGACACATGATCTGGCTTTTCATTTGCTGCATGATAAAAAAGCACTAGAACAATGAGAGCAAGATCCCACCAAAGTCGAAAGCTGATTGTTGTTATTATTTCATTGTATTTATGAAATTACACACACATGCAAACATATACTCGTACCTTCTGTGCATTTACAATTCCAACAGTAAGAGAGAATCACCTGGGTTCAAACAATAATGAAATGACATTTTGTATTTCCATTGAAAGGAAAGAAAAAAAAACAGAATTGCACTCCTGTCCACTTTGCTTCAGGCTGATTTTGAAGCTGCAGCTCGGTGGTAGATAGGTCTCTGCCTGAACTACAATACTAACATACGTCGTAAGAGGCAATTATAACATGGAAGGTGCCAGTGAAGTGCTCTCTGTATCAGGAACTAAAAGAAAAAGAGATAATTCAGTCCTTGTCCAGCTGCAGTGAAGCCTTAAGTCCTGGCTTGACTGAGCCTGCGTCTGGGTCTGGGAAAAGCAAAGAACGGCTCTTACAAACAAAAGAATCTGCCCAGGGACAAGCCATTTGCTAGGCTGGGGCAATAGTGGTAAGATCTTTAGGGGCAAAGGCCCAGGCTTTGTCTGTGTTTGCAAAGAGCCCCTTTGATCTGGACTGGGACTTCTATGTACTGGGCTCTGACCTTGACTAAGGATCCCAGCACCTCTACAGCACACACAGTACCAACAAAATCCTGACTCTTCTGAAGGCCCTTCAAAATTGCCTAGTCAAATAAACTCTTTTTAGAACAGAAGTAGTTATTAGACTGATTAGTTATTACACTGGCCAGGCACCAAATAGTTTTTTTCAGTCAACCCGGTATGTTTTTTCCCCCTGGCAAAATGAAAAAGACCAAGCCATTTCAATTTCGGTCGGTCACACAAAACTTTTCCTTTTATTTTTTCCAGCCTCAATTATTTGCTTGATTTTACTTGTATTTGCACATGGTTTCCTCCAAAACTGTGGTTTTCATCACATAATTTATTCACCAAAGAACACTGTTCAGCTCCAGTTCTTGTGTCCAAAAAGGGCACTTTGTAAAGAAAAGAAAAGATGTCATTTTAAATGCATGGATCTGGCATCCTTTCTGCTGAACTCATGGACAAAAGTGGAGGTACTTCTGCTACTGTTTCTTCTGAAAAGCCATTGCAATAGCAGATAAAGAAACGGGGAGAGAACATCTCTTGCAACAGAGGCAGCTAATTTCTAACTGCCTGACTGTCATTACTGGCGTTGGGCTGAGGACAAGAGAAGAGATGGCTTTATTGCCAGCCCTGGCCATTTTCAAGGGACCTAGACCAAGCTGCAGTAGTGCGGCTAAGCAGAAGGTCCTGAAGCCTGTTTCTGAGTGATCGTAGAGTAAACCTTTGCAGATGTGACAAGCAGTATCCTGCAATGATGAGGGAATGAGATAAGAATCCTGCCCTCCAAAAGTGTGATTTTCACAGAACCATAAATCTCAACTAGTTGACACCTTTCACGTCCACCAGCAAACTGGTCCAGGCCAGTTCTAAAAGTTTCAGTGAAACAAAGAAATTTAAATAAAACCAATTAGACATCATTTATTATAATCCAGGAAGTTTTTGTAAAGTGTTGGGGACAACTTCCCAGTGCAAATGCTGGAGCACCCAATTAGGGGCACGCTCTTCTTCACCTGCTGCTCACAAACAGGGAAGACTTGGTGGGGAATGTGGTAGTGGTTGGGCAGCAGTGCCCATGAGATGATTGACTTTAGGATCCTGAGGAAAGGAAGGATGGAGAGCAGCAGAGTAAGGACCTTGGACTTCAGGAAAGCAGTCTTTGACTCACTCATGGGCAGGATCCCCTGGGAAGCTAGTCTGAGGGGGAGAGGAGTCCAGGAGAGCTGGCTGTATTTAAAGAAGCCTTACTGAGAGTGCAGGAACAAACCATCCCGATGTGCAGGAAGACTAGCAAGTATGGCAGAAGACCAGCTTGGCTTAGCAGGGAACTCTTCAATGAGCTAAAACACAAAAAGGAAGCATACAGGAAGTGGCAACTTGGACAAACAACTAGAGAGGAGTATAAGAGTATCACTCAAGCATACAGGGATGAAATCAGGAAGGCCAAAGTACATTTGGAGTAGCAGCTAGCAAGGGATGTGAAGGGGAACAAGAAGGGTTTCTATAAGTATGTCAGTACCAAGAGGAAGATCAGGGAAAGTCTGGGTCTCTTACTGAACAGGAGAGGCAACCTTGTGACAGAGGATGCAGAAAAAGGTGAAGTGCTCAATGCCTTTTTCACCTCAAGCCTTCACAGGCAAGGTCAGCTCCCAGACTACTGCATCTGGCCGTACAGTTTGGGGAGCCAACAGCAGTGAAAGAACAGGATAGGGACCATTTAGAAAAGCTGGACAGGTACAAGTCCATGGGGCCAGATGGGATACACCTGAGGGCACCAAGGGAGTTGGCTGATGTGATTACAGAGCACTGGCCATCATCTCTGAAAACTCATGGTGATTAGGAGAGGTCCCGGATGATTAGAAAAGGGCAAACATAGTACCCATATTTAAGAAAGGGAAAAAGGAGGATCCAGGGAACTACAGACCAGTCAGCCTCACCTCAGTCCCTGGAAAAGTCATGGAGCAGATCCTCAAGGATCTAAGCAAGAAGGAGAAGGTGATTACTAGGAACAATTAGCCTGGATTCACCAGGGGCAAGTCATGCCTGACCAATCTGATTGCTTTCTATGATGAGATGAAGGGCTCTGTGGATGTGGAGAGACCAGGGGATGTGGTATACCTTGATTTTAGCAAGGCTTTTGATATGGTCTCCCACAGTATTCTCATAGGCAAGCTAAGGATATATGGGATGGATGAATGGACTGTAAGGTGGATAGAGAACTGGCTGGAGCATCGGGCTTAGAAGGTAGTAATCAATGGCTTGATGTCTAGTTGGCAGCTGGTATCAAGTGGAGTACCCGGGGTCAGTCCCAGGGTGGTTTTGTTCAATATCTTCATCAACAACCTGGAAGATGGCATAGAGTGCACCCTCAGCAGGTCTGCAGATGGCACCAATCTGGGGGGAGTAGTAGATATGCTGGAGGGTAGGGCTGGGATTCAGAGTGACCTAGACAAATTGAAGAACTGGGCAGAAGGAAATCTCATGTGGTTCAACAAGGATAAGTTCAAAGTCCTGCACTTAGGATGGATCAATCCCATGCACCAGTACAGGCTGGGGGCTGACTGGCTGGGCAGCAGCTTTGCAGAAAAGGACCTGGAGGTTACAGTGGGCAATAAGGTGAATATGACTCTGCGGTGTGCCCTTGCTACCAAGAAGGCTAACGGCATACTGGGCTGCACTGGTAGGAGTGTTGCCAGCATGTCAATGGAAGTGATTATGCCCCTCTATTTAGCACTGGTGAAGTCACATCTCGAGTACTGTGTCCAGTTTTGGGCCCCCCACTACAGAAAGGATGTGGTCAAACTGGAGAATGTCCAGGGGAGGGCAGTGAAAATGGTTTGGGGCTGGGACACATGACTTGTGAGGAGAGGCTGAGGGAACTGGGCTTATTTAGTCTACAGAACAGAAGACTGAGAGGGGACCTAATAGCAGCCTTCAACTACCTGAAGCGAGGTTCGAAAGAGGATGGAGGTAAACTGTTCTCAGCGGTGACAGATGACAGAACAAAGAGCAATGATCTCAAGTTGCAGCAAGGGAAGTTTAGATTAGATATTAGGATGAATTTTCTCAGTAGGAGGGTAGTACAGCACTGGAACAGGTTACCCAGACAGACTGTGGACTCTCCATCCTTGGAGGTTTTTAAGACCCAGCTAGACAAAGCCCTGGCTGGAATGACCTAGTTGTGGATGGTCCTGCTTTGAGCAGGGTGTTGGACTAGATGACCTCCCAAGGTCCCTTCCAGCCCTTATTTTCTATGCTTCTATGATTCTAATATTACAACCAGCCATCTATAAATATGGGGTATAGACTGGAGGCAAATTTGGAGAACTCAGCAAATTCAAGAAGACTTGCTGCCAACCTGCATGCCATGCTCTTCCCACCTCTTGAGTCTGCCCAGCTGGTACTGGTGAGAATCTACATTATGTTGTCACGGGTAGCCAGATAGACTTTGGGGTACATGCTTGTGTTTTTTTTTGAAGTGCAAGCAGCTCAAAGGTCAGACTGTAGATCTGTTTCTGCCCCTTTTATCAGCAGCCAACCTGCAAGTTTACCTGTAATCTGGGTAACAGCTTGATTTTCATATGCCAGGTGGCGTTTACAGTACAGCCAGTTAGCAAAGGTCCTTCTCGTTGTGGCGCCTGCACAAACACGATTCTGTCTAATGACACACGGGGGCAGTCTTGCATTTGTTAAAG